TAACCTACTGTACTCGACTACTTTCCCGAAAATCACACAGCTAACCACACGCCTCCGTGATCTCAAGATCGAACAAAACAAAATAAACAACCAAAAAAAACAAACTTTCTGAAGTTCTTCAATGTGCAAACAGGACATGGTTCAACATTATCTACACTTTGTACACTTGATTACTCCATTTACTGAGTTTCATAGTCCACCAACCAACCGGGGGTTTTCCTGACTCGATCAGGATACCGCCTGGGAGGGGGTTCACCTGCACCTTCGTTTCTCATCAGGGTCTGCAAGGTTTGCGGCTCACTGCCACCTCCCTCATCATCCTCTTCCTCGGAAGTTACATCTCGTACTACTCTTCTAACATCGAGAACGTGACGAGCCATACCATCGACAGCAACACTGTTGATCGAGTTTACTCCCGTAACCGTACCTCTATTCCACTTGGTCGTGCATTTGCTCTGGGGTGGTTTAACCCAAACATCATCCCCAACTTCACATCTTCCTTGCCCGTCTTCTTCTTCATTAACAACGATATGGCTTCTCCAATCGTGAGGGTAGACTGCTCTCTGTGGCGCTGATGCTGGGTCCAAACCTGCTCTTGGTGTTGAGTTGTACCAAAACACAGCTTCTTGTGGGGAAATGTTTCCTCTTTCTGCAATGGACTTCACTGTATGGTGGTGTCTCTCAACAATCCCGTTCCCCGTAGGCCTATATATGCAGCTCTGAACAATGGTTTGATAGTCCAATTCTGAAGCATCTGCCAAAAACTATCTGAATGAAACACTGTGCCATTATCCATTAAGATCTCACGCACTGGTCCTCTCTCAAACATGAGTGCTTCAACTACTTCCGTCACGAACCCTGCTGTCTCTCTCTTCAGTTTCTTCCAAATTGCGAATTGCCCTGGGCCACAATCAACAATTGACAGGTGTGGATGGCGCTTGATGATGGTGAGTTATGTCTATGGCCAATCTTGTCCAGTCTCTAGCGACATCAAGGTTGCCTGCCTCATGGACAACTTGAATTATCGGTAAAGACTGCGCCCTCATTTCAAACGGGTAGCTGCCGGCGCAGCAGCCACCCGAAGCTAGTTTTCCTGTTTCTTCTGATAGACACCGTTTCCCGTCTGACTGCATCGACTGGCTATGTGCCTAACTTCATTGCAGTGGTAGCAAACAATGTCAGCATGATGACTACAAAACTTAACCATATGTGGTCCCCCACATCGATAACAAGAGCCTTTAAATGCCCTCACACGTTGACTGTGGCTTCCCATTTCGTTTGCCATGGCTACGCCTGCCGCCGCAACGCTGACCATTCCCGTCTTACTTGCTGTAAGGATTTTAGCTCTTGCTATTACCTCTGACAGTTCAACTTCGATGACTCGGCTCATCTGTTGGAGCTCACACGATATCGGGTCAGGGAATCCATTTTCAAAGGAGAACCTAACCAGCCTACCCAGTTTGCTGCCTGAAAATCCAGCCGACCCTCCCAATCTCCTTAGTTCGTTCGCGAATACATTAACCTGCTCACCGTCCCACCTCCTCTGTGTCAACTTACTGAACGCAACAAATGAGCTGTCGTGAATGCCTCTAGAAGACGCTTCTCAATTGTCTGATATTGTGATCTTTCGAGCTCACTAAGCTGTAAGTACAAGGCAAATGCATTACCCTCCAGGAACAACAGTACAAATTCCGCAAGATCCTGAATGTTCTTCATACCCGCGATGAGTTTAACCTTAGCCAACCATGCCACAACATCACTATTGCCACTGAAAGGCTTGATCATGTCTGTCGTTATTTTCGATGCCATC